TATATATATAAAATCTAATATAAATACCCCCGTTCAGCCTTCAGAATCAAATCATGGTTTTCGAATATGTTTGATGCCCAGGTCTGTACAATAACTACATATATACCAGAGATGCAAAGTAACCATAGCAGCTTTACTATGTTGCTAAGTTGTTGAAATACAGAACAGCACACCATCACTAAGACAACACAGAATGTGAAATACTGTGAATGAAAAAAATGGGAGCAAATTTAAAAAAAGTGTGTGATGATGAAGAAAGAGAAAGTTACTATTTATACCATGGGAAATTAAGTGCTATTTTTACTACTAACACAATTATAATATTACATTAATTAATAAAGAAGGTCATAGTAAGTAACCTCCTAACCAGTATGTTAGCCTATCAAATGATTCATTGTTTTCATAGTCAACAAATGTAAGAACTAATATTAAAAATAGAGGAAGTTCTTATAATAAAACACATCAAATGACAAAAATCAGAAAGCACATAGACAATCAAGGATAATTATAGAAATTTAGAATTTTAAATGTAGTTCCTCATGGTCCCAACAAAAACCCTAATACTGTATAATAAAATTAGTATAATTATTATACAATAACTTAGATTAAAATTATACAGGATTCACAATAGCAATGAATAAATGAATAAAATGTAAATTCCCACAAAATGGCTAGAACTCGATAGAAAACAGTAGACTAAATTCATTTGTAAAAACTGAGTTATTATATTATATATTTTTTTTTACCTGAGGAAAGTGACAAGCCTTCTTGGATGGGTTGCAAACTGCACTGGTCTGATCACCAAGCTCGACTCCCGAACTTACAACATGAGAGATATTAACCTTTGATGGTTCAATACCAATCATGTCTGCAAGGCACTCACTGAGAGACGTAGTATCAAAACCAAACTAAGATTGTGATGGGAAAAAAAATGACAATATATATAGTATGTGAAAAGATATGGAGAATTATTAAGAAAAAGGGAGGAAGTGCTTACTATAATGAGGGCTGTCAATTCAAAATCCGAAGGCATTTTTAAATATTATTTGTGGTGCATTCTTGTCTACAGGAGAATTATTTAATTATAATGAGGCTGACAAACCTTCTAAAGCTAAGAGGGAGAAGGGTACTTAAGCATGGTAAGCACATCTTAAACATGCAACTGACGGAGATCCACACAGAAGTAGCTATAAAATAATCCTTAAATTATTAACACTTTCAGTGATTCACTGATGTCCTACAGCATACAATGTAAAACAGACAAATCAATCCTCATTCAATTGTTTATATGCTATTGGGCATTTCAGAGACTTGTTTGTGCAACTGCATATTCATCTTAAGGTGTAAAGCGTATTAAACTTGCCACGTCTATAGAAATTCTGCACAGGCAGGAACACGCATCACCATAATAGGGTTGTTATTTGTAATTATTCTAATGCCACTTTCGGTTGGCTAATGGGCATATTCATTTCAATAGAAACTACAGCGGAAAGAACGTTTACTACTTTCCATCTTACATTTAAGCCGGCTGAAATTGCTCACATAAATTTTGCCTTTGTGCATGAGGTCGTTAAGAAAATTTGAAGACTAACCGGAGAAACGTGGTCATTGCACAAAACTGTTAAAATAATTAATTACCAACGGTAAAATGTGACTTAAAGGACTTTACAGTAACAAAGTAAATGTCAAATAATTTCATCTGAAATTGATTGGCCTGAAGACTGGCATGATTTGAACATGAAAACTAATCCTGTTCACATATTTCTATAAAACTTATTAATCTACAGTACTTTGATTTACGAAAACCTGAAGAAAGGCCTACTCAGGTTTCTCTCTGTTAAAATATTACATATTGAAGAGTTTTACCTTAATGATGTCCTAAATTCTAAAGGTCACAAGAATTATCACACAATGTTAAGGAAATATGAATGATTACTGTATTTACTTATTCATTCCCTGCAAGTGATATTAATTAATATTCTTATTAACTGCTGCTCTCTTTTATTTAAATGTACCAATAAAATTTACAATTGTAAGGGAAACACTAATGATGTTTCATCTTATTACTTTTTTCAAATATTAATTAATATACAAATATTCATCAGTTATTACTCATATTCATTGTTTAAATTTCCAATATAATGATTAAGAGAAATGGTACAGAGTGTTTACTTAATTACTCCCTACAAGTGGTATTAACAAATAATGTCCAAATACTATACTGTATTCACCAAGTGCTCCTATTAAACACACACTTGAGTTCAATATATTCTCATATATACCTCACTACAACAAGGTTTCAATATTTAGCTAAATATATAATGCATTAGAAAACACAAAAGGATGGTTACAATTCTGCAAGTAAGTATCACAGTTAAGATTAATCTATCTACACATAAATGTGTTGTTAGAAATGCATTGTCGATCGGTTGTCTTTAATGTATCTATGATTTTGTCGCTGGGGCAGATGCACATTGAGGTCCATATTCTCAAACTTTTCTCACCTCATCCCCAATGATGGTGGGATTGAGGTGGTGTGCATTCTCACGCACCTCCAACTGCCAAATCCTGCATCCGCACCACGCTGGGGAATCAGGTCTTTAACAATACGACAGATTAAACCATTTCATTTTTGCTAACATATACTTTTTACTGTAAATTTTAATGAAATTGACTAACAGCCATGCAATGCAAATAATATAGTAATGGTAGTATCTACATACCTGTAGTTACCAACTATCTCACAAAGTGCAGGACGGTCCTGCATTTCAAAGTAATTTTGGATAAAACACGCATTTTGCAGAAACACATGCATGACCATATGTTTGTCACATATTTTGTAAAACTCTATGCGTGATAACGAATTATCACGGACAAGGGGAAATTGATTTAAAATTAGAAGAAATTGGTTTTATTAAAAGTATAAAAACAGTCATGCTATAACTTGGAGTCATTAGAAAATTAAACATAGCCCTACATTGACACTCAACTTGTAAGTGGCTTTGTTAATATTAAAAATATTTGTACCTGGTATTGTCAACAAACACTCCCTGAAATTGTTTTAAAACAGCTTAAAAATGCTCAGATCGTGGGAAAGCAAGGGGCCCTTCACCACTGTATCCTGGCAGGGCCCTGGCGGCGCAGCACCCCCCAATCTTAGCCAACTGGAGTAGACACTCGCGTATTTCAAATCACTCAGTTTGGTAACTATGTATCTATATGTCTGCTTTGGTGAGAATTTATCTTCTCTTATTAAAAATTCCTGTCCTGTCCTGTTGTATGCCCATATATAGTCATGATGTGCCTATTTATGGTTTTGATGTGATGTCATCATGACCATATTTTGGCATTTCACCTGTTTTTATCAAATAAAATTTGATAGACTGGACAGAGCATAACAGATTCTTTAAGTTTGTCTGACAGGACAGTATAATGATCTTTAAAGCTCAACTCCAAAATGACGATGACTTATTATAAAACCATTAAACATTCTGCAAAGGTTGTACATACTATTGATGTGAAGCTTGTCAAGTAGACCACAGTAAGAATGACCAGTGCCACCAAACTACTGGTAAAGCGACTTTGCAGGATTAGTCTTGAAACCAGAACACATTTCTTGGGCTTTGACTACAAAAAGAAAACAAAAACACATTGTACATTGATTATTTTCATTTAATATAATTTATAGTTTTTCTAGAATCTGTTTATTTGAAAATAACAAATTTTGCAAATTAAATTTAATGAAGTGCACAAAAAAAATCAGAAATTATCAAAATTCACAGCGCGGACAGGGGTGGCGCCAGGGCCCTCCTCCGTCGAGGAGATAAACCAGAAATTGTTGGGCAGAAACAAACAATCATGTATTTTCTACATAATTAGACTCTAAAATCGAAAATCCAAAATTGAAACCTCTAAATTGTCAAAATTTTCGGGAAGCCCCCTGGACCATGTTTAAGACATTTTAAGTGGCACTTGGCCACGCCCACTGTGCTCTCGTCGGTGATTTCCTAGCCTAGCGCCACCCCTGAGTGGGCCCAACCTCGGCAAAAATTAATGCATCAATAGCCGCACCAAACTCTTGTACTGGAGAGGTCGATTCATTTCAATTCTACAAAGTAGTTAATTATTAATGATTTTGGGAATAATTTAACAAATGCAAAGATAAATTTAGAGATAATTACCATGAATTCTGATGATGTGATCAACACCATAAAAACAGGTGCTAGTAACAAAACAGCCAGGAACACACCAAGCATCAACCCAGTACTGTAACGAGAATAATGTACATACAAAAATGAAAAAGAAATGCAAGATAATATTAATTATAATATTACTAATTACGAAAGTATATTATTGATGATAATCTTGATAATAATAAGGCAAGACATTTTCATACCTTGTTTCGCCAACTTATTTGTTTAAGATTGTCAGAAGAGAGCAGAAACAAAATAAAAATAAAATTGTGTTTTATTATTTAACAACTGGTTTTGCCAAAAACATCCAGATGGGGGAGAAAATAAAAATAAAATTTCATTCCTAAATGTAAACAGTGTAGTAATGGTTAAATGCTTTAAATTTATATAATTAGGAAGAAATATATGTGGTGTTTCAGAGATAATGGCCAAACATGCTGGAATGTCAACATTTTTTAAATCTATTTTATTGCACTAAACTAGCCTTTATATATCTATACATCTTCCCACTTTTCAATGTTCAAACAACAATTTTTAACGATTTGGTGATGGTTTCTGCCTGAGGAATGCCCGAAATTGTAAACATTAAAGGCTGATTTCTCAAATATTGTTCTTTAAAAACCTGTATGTTTGAACACTTGTAACTTGATAAGGAAATGACGGATTTAAATGATTCTGTGAGCATTTTATAGCTCTTATTCTACTGTTTAACTATGTAGTAATAACTAAACATTGATTTTCGCGACCAGTGACTGGTTTTGCTTGTCTTTACCACAATTGATAATAAAGAAGTGAAAACATGCAAATGAATTTGCGAGAGATGTGTTATTTTCTGGGAGATTCTTGCTTGCTTTTTATGGTGGTGGGTCGACCTAATTGGACAAAAATAAAATTTTATTTTTAATTGAAATCATCATTATTGGTGGTCGGCGGGTTGCGCTAAACAAGGTATAAAAAGTCTTGCCTAATGATGACTGCCTTGAAGGTAAGCATACACCTAGGGTTCAACTAACAAATAAAATGCTACAGGAGCCAATGCTTAAATTGAACAGAATAATAATAAAGTGATCGTAAAAAAAATCATTACTACAGTAATGGCATCAAAGAAATTATTTGAATGATTACTTTTTCATTTCAATTTTTCTTAAACAATTATATCATTTCTATTGAACTTTTGCCCCACTTCTTCAGATTTTACTCTCTAATTGCTTCTGTCATTCATCAGAATTGCGTCAACAATAAGTGAATACTTTTTTGAGCTCTAATAGAAGAATTAATCTTTAGCACATGACAGCAATCCCAAATAATTTGTTGTTTAATTTAGAAAAAATAACAGAGAGAAATAATAGAGAGTAGAAATATCTTTGGTCAGTGGCATTTTTCTTCAAAATATTATATTCTTTTTTACATCGAACAGAATACACCACAATTATATTTTTGTATTAAATTGAACTTAAGGAAAAACAGTAACTACATTTTATATACTTGATAATACCATCCAATAAATGTAAGCTATTGTTTATGGTTTAATTCAATAATTCGAGTATCAATGTCTTTATTTAAGATGTATTTTAATGTTTTGTTACGTTTTACTCATAATGAACCTGTTTTTTTGTATGTCACAGTTGCAAAATCTATTCCGTTATTATACTGTAGCCAGGAAATGTACATTTTACCGTCTAATTTTCCATTAAAGGCTATGAACTAAGTTTTTAACCTTAACACATATAAATATTTCCATATTAGTAAAATCTCATCTACACTTCTATACATTATATAATCTGCTTATAATTCTTTTAAGCAGAGTGCTCTCCAGTTTCTCCCTTTCATCCTCTTTTCACACTTAATGCTTATTAGTGTTTCCTACTTATCAGTTTTTCTCTGAAAATGTTTCATCCTCTTAATATAAATCCTTTCATTTTCATTAACAACCACTGGCCATATTAAAATCTGAGATTTTGTGCTTACAGAACATACTTCTCAGAAGATGGAGAATGAGAACACAGGTAGACGAGCAAGTAAAACGAATACACAAAACTATTGATTGTTGGCTAAAGTAGCAGTTAGTGTAATACATCATTGTCTGACCACAGCATCATCTTGACAGGCGAAATAATCAGTCGTTGCTATTAATAGGCACAAGTAACATCGATTAAATCCTCCCTAATTTAACAATGCTGGAGACTTTACCTATAAATTGATAAATGCATAGTAAACTTTTCACCTTTTTTTTAACAGTCCTCTGTGACTTCAATTCATTGTGATACAGTAGATTTGTTGCATTGTAGGAGTTAGAGTGGATTTTGTGAGTCGTTAAAACATACTAAAAGCTAGAGTAGATTTTAGTGACTTTAGGATTGGACATTATTTGTTTAGAATGTGGGACGCATCATACTTTATAATGCACTTTGGTTAATACCAACAAATGTACTATAGTCAATACCAACATTACTTAATATAATACACTAATGGTCAACACCAACATACTGCATTACTTTAATATAGTGTACTATTATAGTATAATATAATAGTCAATACCAATATATTACTTAATATAATGCACTGTGGTCAATTTTTGCATAGTACTTAACATAATGCAGTGAGCCTCAAAATAGTACTTTAATATAGTGTATTGTGGTCACTAACAATATACTGTAATATAGTGTATTGTGGTCACCAACAATATACTGTAAAAAAAAAAGGGCTGATGGCTAAACTGAAAATTTAATGAATGAATAGACAATAATTGTATTGTGATTGCAAAGTTCTATTATAATGGAAATACTATGTTTATTTTCATTCCTGACATCTTCAAAGCTAATGACAATAAGCAACCTAGTTGTACAAACATCAGCATTACTGTTATCATCAAGTTTCTGACGCATTATAATGTGCTACAATTCACCTTCACATCACTGCCTGTGGCTCTGTTTATATTACTACATGCTGTTTATGTGTGTGCACTGGCGTTATGACACGTCTTCTATTGCCTACGGGTCAATTGACCCAACGTTTTCATTTATAAAGTGCAATCATGAAACCACGTTTTATGGCAAATAATATTGCAAAATGCGTAAATGTTGTTTTCTTGTTTTAATTTTGTTCTCAGCAGAGATTAGGCCTTAGCTAGAGATATTCAATCATTAAATTATGCAAATGTTTTCTTTGATTATGAACCAACCAGTTTTTTTTCTTTCTGTTTGATTATCAATATCAAAGACATTATTTATATTTTACTCTTGTTTGGAAGAGAAAAAGGCCACAAAACAAACAAGTCCAATCACAAATGAGGCTGATTATGACCAAAATGGCGCTGAAATATAGCTTAACAAAATACAGCCAAGCTTTTGTTTATCGACAACTTTTATAAATATATGCACAGATCCATTCAGCGTGTGTCGGTGCAAAGGAAAGCTATTAAATTATCATCCGCTGTTTTATGAGAAGTCAAAATCTTGCTTACAGCAACAAGCAGGCACCACCAACCTACCACTTTCGGTAAACTTATCGAGTAGTATTTTGTCTAGTTCGGTATTGTAATCGCACATAATGCCGGTCGTTTATACAAACAAATTAGAAATACTGTGTTGCTCAATCGGTGTTAATGGTGTTGTACAAATGAAGCCTACGAGCAGTAGACACATTATAATGTGCTACAATTTACGTTCACATACTGACTATGTTAGAATCTTAGACACATACAGTGATAATATAAAAAAATTCTCCATTACGCATACTTCTGATTAACTCTATGTTCAAATGATGAAGCTAGCTAACAAACTAACGAAATCTTGCATTTCAATAAATAATGTTGTTAGTCAACGAGAGGTACTACCTGTAACTTATTTTATCAATATCGGACTACAGTAATGTGGTTCCTATTTTTGTTCATCAAATTTATTTTGTTAATTTTAAAGAAGGCAAAGATACAGTATGTATTATTACTATTAAAAGCATTGCTGGAATGTTCCAAAAAACAATAAGGGGCAAGGGTTTATCCAGCGAGCCATCCGGCCATCTTTTGGACAGCCAACAATTATTTAAGATGGCCACTTTCACTATGACAGCTTGGACAGCTTGGCCTACTCAGCTCCGCCTAGCCTCTTTTAAGCCTGGCCTACTTTTAACAAATTCTCTATAATCTTAGAATCTATCGAATGTTGCATCAAACTAAAGCTAAATCATATTTACGTCTGATAAAACTTGAGTGGAGTTGAATAGCTTGGTGGTTAAGATGCTTGCCTTCCAATCCCAGGGTCCTGGGTTCAATTCCTGCCAGTTGCAGGATTTTTTTCTCACGACATAAACAACTCCACTCCCTAAATCCCATATTGAGTTTGTGTAAAGCATCGTGTGTGTATGGGCTTGCATAAGGGATTTTCACCTACAAGTAGGACAGTGATATATATTCGCTATTGGCAATCCTTGGCACATGTATTGTGTGCCTAAAGAAAGAATAATAATAATACAACAACCTTTATTGATTGAATTTATGTTGTTTTCATCCAACATTCGGTGGGGATTCCCAAAAAGGTATGGCTAAACCATTGTCTATCCAGTGAAAATGTCATTTACAACACATGTATGTCGTGTTAAAAACATATATTCAGGCTCCGCTAGAAAATGGACGGTTCTAAGTCGCCCACAAAGCATGCACATGGCTTATGCAAATATAGTACTTGAGATTCGGTTACCCGAGATATTGTTCTTGTTCGTAATTATAATTAATTCATAAAATACCGTAAAGTAGAATTGTTGTTAACATCACAAGTTAAATTTTAATAGTCAACAAAATAAAGTATGCCTGGGCCTACATACTGTATCTCTCAATTTGGAGGACCTAGAGTAGAGTTTACACTAGACTAGGGTGAAAGATGAAGATGCTTCTGCATAGCCTAGAAAAATAATGTGAGTAAACAACCATACCCGTCTATCTATAACAGTCTATGTCTATAACTGAAATAACTTTGTGATAGCTAATTCAACAATATTCCTTTGAAGACAAAATTCCAACATTTGAACACCTTTAAATGGTACTGGAACTGCAGGCCCATAGTGTGACTTAATTTGTGGAAGGTTCGTTTCAGTGGAAAGTGGACCCTTTGGCTTGTATGATCTCCGATATTCTGGAAAACATTGTGAATATTATCTACGAATATCAATTTTCATTTTTAAATGCGGATCTTCTCCAGTTTTTGGGAGGTTCGTTGTAACCCCCTTAAACCCGCCCCAAGCTATGGGCCTGTACTGGGTATTTATATTGCGCCTTTCCCTTGCAGTTATGAAGCACAAGCTAAGTCTCAACTATTAGGAAAACAGTGGCAGGCATAAAATTGCTCATCATTCAGGGACCCCACGTATTAGTACAGTCTCGCAAACAAACAAACAAATAATACAGATTAAAACAACTAAACAAAACAAGGAAAATGATTCTATGCAATGTATAGTAGGCAATCAATATATAGAGAACACAGGATATTTTCATTTCAAAATGCATGAAAAGATAAATTCTCGCTCAATTTTAATTTCACCAGCTGATTCCCCTACTAAATCAAATTTAATGAATCATCTTGTTGAATTAAACCAACAAAAATTGTTTTAATTAATTAGAAAGTTGAGATTTATATTTAATAATACTTACTACGGAAAGATTGGAATCTGACTGAAGCAAATAAGCAGGAGGATGAGGTAAGTACATCCTATATAAGCACTGTACATACTGTCAATCTCTTTAGAATACTACAAAAATATAAATAAAAAAAAGATAGATATAAGTGGAGACGATTAAAAGTATTTCTATGCAGACATAAAAAACATAACATTTAAAAAAAGTCAATTTCAGCTAATGAATATGACTACAAAGTAAATAGAAGTCTTGTGTTAATTAAGACTAACATCATGACATTGTTAATAAGGCAGAGAGAAGGATAAAAAAAACCATAGATTATATGGGAGTTAGCATGGAAGGAATAGAGCATGATGAAAATCACAGAATAAAAACAAATGAATGAATGATTAAAATGAATGAAAAAGAATTCGTTAAAACTACATACATACACCGAGTTAAAAAAACATATCATAAACATAATAGTATAATTATATTATAACATTTTAATGCCGATTTTGTCAAAATTCAATTAAGCATTGTGCTGCTGTGTTTTAATTGTATTTTTAATAAATATATAAAAAAAATATAAGTGTATAATAGAAAATTTCTATGTGAATGTACACATACATACTTTGTCTATTATGATAATCTATGTTAATAGTTTCCAAATATGCTATAGCATATCCATTAGTAAAAACATACACAGGAGACATATGTAGGGCAATGAAATGGATTGGAGATGACATGGACCACTTATATAATGGTACATTAGAAGCAGATAGCTCAACTATTTTGAAGGGTGTTCTAGTGAAAAACAAAGTATTCATAAATATGCATCTTGAATATAACATACACATTGGCAGTAAAATCTAGCTGGGGGAGCGCCAAAAATGGTAATCAAACTAAATCATATTCAGATTACTACTGTACCTTCACTTCTAATTCAGGTTTGCGGAATGTTAATGTGAATCTTTTGACATGGTCAGAACGCAACCTGTCAATGCTTCTTGCATCAATAGCGCGTCCTAAAAACTCATCTGCTTCATCTTCAGGGTTGCTCTTTGTCTGTTGCTCTTCAAGTCCGAGTCTACCGATTCAAAATGAGTTTTTCAACGATGCTTAATTCCAATGTATCAGTTATTAAGAGTACTTTTTAAATCACGTACAATGTGCAAGTAATTGTTCTACTTATTTTGCATTAATGCTAGAAGAATGGCAATTTACTTAAAGCATGACAATGTCCAGGTATGAGTTAATATGAGTTCTTCATATAGACAGCAGTATACTACACTACAATGAAATAATATTCATGATTCCTTTTTAAAATTTCATTACATCATATCCTTGAAATTTTTTTTCTCAATCTGCATTCAATGGAATGAAAAATGTGAGGTCTCACCCCGAAATGAGATGCATCGTTGGAGAAATCATATTGAGATATTCACCAAAACAGGCCAAAATCAATATTTTTACAAAATTTTGATTTTAATGTTTTTTAATAACTTGATACTTATATTTTATGATTGTATACTTTGTAAGTGAATTTTCTTGCTAAAACAGTGTTTTCTGCACATATTCTGTAAGTCTAGTCATATTATTTGTGCAGGTTAGTTTATCTTTGAGGTCAATTTTCTCAAAACGTGGTTCTTATACACCTAAACTTTAAATGCTCACATCTCTGGATTTACTTATAGTAGGGAAGGCCATTCAAAGACCAAATGAAAGCTTATAATGTGATCTACCCAAATATAATATAAACTCAATTTTTGAATTTCTAACCATGAGACTCATTTTGTGGTGAGACCTCACAAATATTATGTTTCAAAGAAAAACTAATCAAATTTGGAGTTTGTTTAAAAAATGGGTTTATTAATAATACAATCTTAAAAACACACACAAAAAATTGAATTTAAAAATTCTTTTTTTTTAAATGGTACATATTAAAGCAGAAAATGTTTAACTTATCAATATCATATCAATTACCAAGTGCAAGATGAAACAACTTTATAATCAGTAAAATGATGAATTTGACATTCCACTTTACATTCTAACACATTCTTTTAATAGTAGACAATTCATTAATCAGGAAATGTCCTTAATATATCTTTTAAATATCATAATTTTTCCCTGGTAAGAACAATTCTGTGATAACCTGGGCCTTTTGTGGGTTAACTACAGGTGAATTGTATGGACAGCATCTGCTAGTAACTGGGGTTAATGATTGCTACAAATTTATCTTCCATCATCACTATACCCATTATTTAGATTTTGATTTTAAATGTTAAAAAGGCTACTGGGAGATATTTATCAAACAAGGACAATATATAACTGTGAATTGTACCTTGATTACAAAGAATAAACCGAGCTAATGAGGCTAACAAACTTTAGCGAAAGTTGACTGTGAGGGCAAAAGGTACAACAAATCAGTAGGGAAACACATTTAAGGTTTCAATTTCATGATAAATTAGTGTAGAAATCAGTTTTTTTCCCACAAGAATGACAGGATATAGGTAAGAGGTATGTCACATGTAGGATTTATATGCGACATTTGGTAAGATTGTTTTATATGTCAGATTAAGGGATCTTAACTTATAAAATAGTAATAATGAAAATGATATAAGTACCGATGAAGAGTAATTATTTATCTTCACTTGATTGAAGAGACAAAATCAGTCTGGATAAGGTTTGAGAAATACAATAATTTTGCAGTCATTCTTACTAAATTTGAACTATGATGAATATGATAATGATGATAACGGTGATGATGATAATAATCATGATGATGATGACAATAATGATGATGATATCCATAGTGGTTGCATTGGGATAATGCAGTGACATGGATTAGGAAGATGGATAGTACAGCACAGGATTCTCCATCAATTATCTTTAACCCCTTTCACACAGAGCTGCAATATGGTATTAATACCGTTTTTCGCGAATGCCAGCATTCTATGTAAAAGGGTAAATACGCCTAACGCCGGCTTGGGTTAGGCCTCCTCGGGACCAAGTCAAAATACCGCATTAATAAAGTAGCGGTTCATTGCCGTCTTATGCACAGAAGCATAACAAATCAGAGGTCAAAGTGTAAAACATTTTTGATGAACGCGCGAAGAGTTGTTTTAAGATCGGTGTTGCAAATGTAGTCTGCGTTGATGGTCGAGGAAATCTTCGTTATATATTAATTATACCTGAATTGCGGTTTTAAAAATATCCTGGTTTTAATTAAATCCTGTTGAACATGGCATCAAAAACATTCTATTTGTTAAATTTACATGTAATAAACATAACAAAAACAAAAAAAAAAAACAGTTGGAAAGCAGCAGTTGCATAATTTGTTCTCTTGCCCTATTGGATTAATGAAGTAAACAAAAAATTGCGCCCTCTTTGTTCCTTTTGCAGCTGGGACCCCTTTCAGACAGGATACGGTATTAAAGTCAGGCTCCGGAGGAAAAAAAATTTTTGATATGTTGTAGAACTGATTTTTCTAAGACAGAAAAAAGTTGTTTGACGAAAAACTGGGAAACGGTGAATGAGATACAGATTTTTTAATATTTCAAAACTGGGGGAAAAAGGGGCGTAACTGCCCATTTTACATCTTATTCCCCCAGTTTTTTTTTCCCTACGGAGCCTGGCTTTAATGCCAGATTTTTACCAATTGTGTAAAAGGGTCTACACCGGAAATAGCGCCAGCGTGATTACGGTATAATTGCGGTATTTTCTGTCTGAAAGGGTCCTTAGTCTCTAATAGACCTTCGCAATTAACTTAATAAGGTTTGTTAATGCATTTCACTGAAAAACAGTTTGTATAGTAGTCATTAACTTAGCATAGACTCATCTATGGTAAACACTGCCAAGGAATTAGCTACAACAACAGATGGTGCAATGACTATTTGACTGAGCAGGAATAATTAATGAATGAGGTATTTATTTTTTAAAAAGAGCATTTGATGGAATATTTAAATGCAAATTTTGAATATGATGTATATTTGTGGAAATAATTAAGAAAAGGTGATGGTTGTGGTGGTAAAGCAGATCTCATAAGGACCCCAAAACGTATTATTTTATAGGAGGTGTAGAAATAAAGTGAAGTATGTCAATGAGTGAAATGTCAGGGATAATTCAAGAAAAGAGTGTATTTGAAGGAAAATTTAAAGAAGTAAATAAAACATACAAAAAATTACATGAGAAAATATTTAAGAAATTTGAGTGGCAAATATACAAAAAACATTTTATATTGTATTTGAGGGCTTACTTGAGGAAATATACCAACAGGACAATGGGCTTAGCTAGATTCAAAACAAATATGTTATTTCTCCAGCATTATTACATTATTATGCTGGGGAGGGGTCAGATGCACTTCCTGCAATATCAGCAAATTAATTCCACTAAGTAGGTTAGAACAATAAAAATGACCATTAAACTTTCATTGGAATAGGGATTTAGTTCCAGCTATCAGCCTATGCCCCTGAGTAAAACTCACTTTTGATGTATGTTTTTTTCTCTATCCTCTCCATGGCCCAGCAATCGTGTTTCCTTGCTTGATGGCGGTAGGAATATGAAAGGCCTGTCTGAATTCCATGCACCAAGCTGCGACGATGCTGGATCGGGTCCCGGCTTCTGCTTTCCAGAATTTACACTGTTTAATGACTAGAAAGAGCAGAAACATATTTTACTTTAAATTGATGAGAATCCAACAAGCTCAGGAAAAGAGGTATCAGTAATGTTAATCTTTTGACTACAATGTTTGTTAGCCAAGGGGTCCACTGATAGCATGAAAATTCCATAATAGTAATATACTTTCACTTCAGAGAGACTAAGAGAGGGCATGGTTGATTTGTTATGTGTCTTTTAGGGCATTATTAGAAATATCTTCAGGGAAACTGATCTTGATTATATCATGTGAGTGTAAATATATAGAAATGTTTTGCCCAAACAGACTGATTGACTTTATTAAGAACTCATACAAAAATACAGCAACACAATACAACACAATAACATAGAATTCCTAAGATAACACAACAAAATTGGTACATCCCAAATACTTGAGGCAAAATCCTGCAAATAATTCAGGTAGAAATCGAACTCATGACTTTCAGATAACTTATCTAGTATCCTAATCAATAAATGGCCGAGCTTGTGCTTGGTGGCTAGGGTTGAGTTTGATTCCCAAATAGCAGCGTATTCTGCAATATTTCTAAACATGTCCTGTGTCAGGGAATTCAATAGGAATGACATTTTGCCAATCTATATTATTGTAATCAATAATCAATATGTCCCCTAATACCTAATACAGACAGAATTGAGCACTTTATTATCTTCACCTGCAACATATTTACATGCTCCTACAAGACAGTAGTTACAGGATTGGCTGCATAATGTGACAACAGTATTCTGTGTATGAGATTTCAAGGAAAATTAATCTTATTAATAACTCTATCATTTCTACAGATGCGGATATTTACCACTCTTGGATGTTTGGGTTTGATTAGCCACGTGTTGATGTTGTGGTCTCGCAGGTAGCTGTTCCGCTCCATCCCGTGACCTGGTTCTACCTCATAATCTCCATTTAGGTATTCTTTGGTTTTGTTTGTGATGTGGACACGACTAAAGAAAAAGCAAACATCAGCTGAGATAGTTAATCAGTACTTTGATAATTAACTGGCACACAAAGATAGATACCTGTTATACTGGATAATCTAGACATGAATAATAACAAGGAATATCACAATCTGTCTGCATATGTATATTCCATGGAGGAAGGTTTCATACACTACAATTTAAAACTTATTTTCATTGGGTGCTGACACTCCTGTGTAATAATATACTAATCAAAATTAATTCCCCCCCCCCCCATAAAGTCATTTCATTTCTTTCTTATCCAATGGTGACATACATATATGCGGCTGTAACTGATAAATATTTTTTATTTAATGAGTTAGTAGTTCTAAGATGATTTAGAAAATTGCTGCAGGAATATTCTGTAGAAATCCTACAGCAATCCCATGATATATTTTGCAAGATGCTATTATAAACCCCTGTAGGATTCTATAATATACAGTAATCGTACGGGATCCACTTTATTAAAGCTATAGAATTCCATATGAAATCCTGCAAGACAATTAAAGCCTGCTTGCTTTAAAATCGATACATTGACGCTATAGGGTTTTCAGTGCAATCTTTGTACTTCGTACAGTAACAGTCCCCGACGTAATTGTGAAGGCTCCCCGATTTGACCGACCAATCAGTATCACCAAAAGCTCTCGGCGATGGCATGTAGCGCTCGGATAGAAACCAAGCTCTAATATATGCAAGGTTGTTGAATGGCATAGTGTCAAGACAAAGTATAGATGATGTGATTGGTTGATAAAATTTTAGTGAAAACTGACTAAGAATATCATAATCAAGCAGCAATTTACTTTATGTTTTAATTATGCTAATGGATCCCTATAGATATTTACATAGATGAGTATTTTTTTTAATGAAGATTCAACCGTCTTATATTCACTTACAAACTCACTAAGCACTTAATTACAAGAGTTCTACATTAAAATGTAATGCAATATCAAGAAAGCAAATGCTGAATTATAAAAAATATCTTAACAATGTTCAAACTTTATAAAAACCATATTTTGGTGATAACTGTTGGGTGCAATTCAAATGAATCTACTGCATCATAAGATAAGATGCATTATGAAAATGTGTCAAAAAATATTTTATCTCAATATTATCTCATGATTAGTTCCAAGTAATTTCACTATTACTTTACTTGCAAGTTAAGAGTAATTTACTTGTACTCTTTTTAGAAAAAAGCACAATAGATTTATATGGAATTAGAACAAACCAATCTTATAAAACCAGCTGGCAACTTACTTTTAGGTAAAATGGATATTATATTAAATTAATTAAGTGAAGCCAGTAAGAACAAGATGATAAAATAGATTTTAGCACACAGCGTCACTAATAGGCTCTCAAGTCTCAATTAGGATGCTATCATCGGATTGAACATTCTTACTTAATCCATATTGATTATTTTGAGTACTAATCGCCAACGACCGTGCAATCTTGCAGTCGGCCTCACTCTAAACTTTGGCAATGTAATCATGAAGCCTTTATAGTTACTGTAATTTGAGAAACCATCGGCAAACAAGAAACGAGGCACTCAAAGCAGACATACGTTCATGATTACATGCAGTGCTCTCTGTGATCTGCAATGCATTTTCTATTTTAAGCAATACCATCGTAGCCATGGTAGCATCCATTTAGCGTATTGTTTACACATTTTGCAACAATCTGGTGCTTTCTTGGTTATTAAAGGTTATTCATTTTTTTTCTAATATAAATGTTCTATGATAACAAAAAATCATTTCAGTCTTTCGTTAAACATTTTGTTGCTTCTTTAAAATAATAATACTATGCAGTTTTTTTTATTTTTTTATCGAAGTTACCGTACTAAAATAATATCTTTGCAGTACGAACCTATAATTATATGATTAATGTTCTACTCTAGTAGAATTGCATTAATTAGAATTATTTTTTCTAACCTGGTTTAGGATCATGCAATAACATATTTTGATGATAATTATGTGTTGCAGTTCCACATTTACAGTGGAATTAAGGGGTGTTTATGTGAGTATACATAAACAATCATATTCTTTCACCATCAATACACATTGAGGCCCTTCTTTTAGGTAAAATGATCTATCTTAAATATTCTTTTTATTTGAGTTGGGACTATTATGTGTTTGATTAACTTAGAAGTCAAAGGAGGACAAACACAATTTCTCACCCTCAAAAATGTGTGCGAAGTGTGCAAGATTTTTTTTTTTTCGAGTTGAGGGCTTGTGATATATATGGCCACACACATTTTTTAAAAACTAAATATAAGCATTTTCATTTAATATGGCTTTATTTATTACAAACATATTCTTTCACCATCATTACACATTGAGGCCCTTCTTTTAGGTAAAACAATCTATCTTAAATTTTCTTTCTTGAGTTTGGGACTATTATGTGTTTAAATAAGTTAGAAGGCAAAGGAGGGCAAGCACAAGTTCCAACTCCGAAAAATGTTCGCAAAGCGCGCAAAAAACTTTTGTGTTTTTAAATTTAATTTCGTCGGAATTGATCAAAACTCCCTAAAATGTGCAATTTTTTAAGGAAATTGGACTACCTTAACAGGAAATGCCCCCCCCCC